CTTTGGCCACTATTTTTTGTTATAATTGGAAGATTATTAACAGAAGACCTGACTAAAAATACCTTTAACAGTAAGAGATTTGTTGACTCACAAGAGACCCCAAAGCAGGTACCTCTGTGTTCATTAGTTTAGTGGTCCAGTAATGTCCTTAAGACTCAAGTTCTTTCCATCTTATTCTTTCATCCTCTGGGCATATTGTCTTTGTTCTCAGGCTCCTTCCCTCAACCTCAGAATGACTGCCATGCTTTGAGGCAGCTCACGAAAAAAGGCGCCTGTAGGAGGAGCTGAATCTCCTCCCAGGTGGTTTTTATTATGGAGGAAAATGACCAGAAGCCCCCCAGCAAGCTTCTCCTAGTTCCCTTGGCCAGGGCGGGTCACACGCTGATGCCCCTTGCCAGTCTTCTGCAAGGGGGCAGCAGTTTTCACTGACTTTACCCCTGGGGGCAGGAGAGGTGAAAGTGAAAGTCGCTCAATCCTGTCTGGCTCTTTGCGACCCAGTGGACCATACAGTCCATGGAATTCTCCAGGCAGGAGTACTGGAGGGGGTAGCCGTTCCCTTCTCCAGAGGATCTTCCCAACCCAGGCATTGAACCCAGAGATTGAACCTAGGGCTCCCGCATTGCAGGCAGATTCTTCACCAGCTGAGGCACGAGGGAAGCCCCGGGGGCAGGAGAGGGTGGATTCAAATTACCTGAGTGAAGGGCGTGAACACCAGAGCCCAGTTAGGGCTCTTGGCCTTCCCTGGTGGCCCCGAGGTTGAGAGACCGCTTTCCAATACAGGGGACGCAGGTTCAATCCCTAGTCCGAGAAGATCCCACATACCACAGAGTAACTAGCCCTTGTGCCATGACTGAGCCTGCACTCTGGAGCCCACCAACCATGACCACTGGGACCCATGCCCCTGGAGAAGCCCCCACAGAGAGAATCCCCCTCACCACAGCTATCCAACAGCCCCTGCTCACTGCAGCTAGAAAAAGCCTGCTCCTAGCAGTGAAGACTCAGCACAGCCAAAAATAAAGTTGGTTTCCAAATTAATTAAAAAAATAAAAGGCAGAGGGGACTCCTCCCGCAAACAAAGTAGGCAGTTGGGTTGGGAAGGGTGTCAGGTGGGCACTACTTAAGAGATTGGAGTATCGTTCTTTGTAAAGCTTTAGTTTTGAATGACATTGTTTTCAAATGACCTTTGTGTGTACATCTTTGGGACAGTTGGTTTTCTAGATCCTTTTCTGGAAACAATTAATGCTTTGTATACAAAAGGCAAGTGGGAATTCCCTAGCAGTCCAGTGGTTAGGATTTCATGCTTCTACTGCAGAGGGCACAGGTTTGATCCCTGGTTGGGGAACTAAGATCCCGCATACCACATGGCACAGCCAAAAAAAGGCAGTGGGGGGGGGCAAGTATTTTTGGAGGACAGTGAGTGGAACAGTTATGTTTTTGTCAACTTTAGTCCATAGATATGTAATGTCTCCAGAAGTACAACACACGTATTGTCTCATTTAGTTCTCACACCGGTCCCACGAGGTCAGTTCCTTCACTATCCCTATTTTACTTGTGAGGAAACCAAGGCTGAGCTAGGTTTAGCCACTTGCTCGAGGTCAGTAGCTACTGCCAGAACTGGTATTAGACCCAGTTCTGTGTGGCTCTTAAGACATATACTTATTCTGTCCTGCCTATATCCAGTTCTTTTCAACTTTGTTTTGATAACTAGTTTCATTTATTTCAAAGAATGTCACAACACACACTGTTTCTCATCTGTATTTGGTGATATGAAATAAATACTGAAGATGTGTTTTGTGAACAGTCAGTGAGCATGTGGTTAAAGCAAATCTTGATATCTGTGTTAGGGTGTGAAGGTTGATTCCTCTAATGCCTGAAGGACCAGATTCAGATTCTAAAGGGCTACAGAGGCTATGGAGAGTGTAATTCAGGACATAATAACTTCTAAGAAATTAATATGCGTTTAGAGATAGGTCTCCTTGCTCTTCCATAACCCTTTCTTCCCGGAGGTTCTCCCTACTCTGTCACCAGTGTGTTTTTATATTAATATAAATTTCATGCAGGTAGTGTCCAGGGTTCTAACTGGAACTAAAATTAAAAAAAAAGTTTTTGAAACATTTTCAATAGTAAGGATTATTAGTATAATAATAATAAATAGTTGAGGAAAATATATATGTGTGGAGTAATTTTTCACTTGGTTGTTGTAATTCTTTGTGGCAGCACCAACTAAAATTAAAAAAAAAGTTTTTGAAACATTTTCAATAGTAAGGATTATTAGTATAATAATAATAAATAGTTGAGGAAAATATATACGTATGGAGTAATTTTTCACTTGGTTGTTGTATGGTAGAGGATGAGGAAGGGTGAGTGTCAGGATGTATAGTACAGTAAAAACAGCTAGGTTAGCATAGGTGTTATTGTTGATATTATTGTAACTCTCAAACACCCCAAAGTGAATGTTTTAGCGATGTAGCAGGTACATTTCCAAGTTCTTGGTTCACTGGCCCCTCCTGAAGTCCTCAATGGTCTTGGCCAAAGAAGACCGTTGACTTCTTGTCAAAGTCCTGAGTCGTGTTCCACAGAGACTCAGGGTACCATCAGCTTCCAAATCTCCCTCAGACCAGACTTTAGAGAGCTATTCAAAACTGAGCTACATTCATCGGCAGATTCCCAATCCCAATTCTGGTGAGAATTCCTCTAGATTCACTATTTCATCCACCTTTCATCCAACACCTGCAGTCTGCCAGGGACTGTTCTAGGCATTTAACAAAGCCACTGGCCTGAAGGGGGAAAGAATGAGGACATCAGGAAGCAATTTGAAGAAATTAAACCGGTCAGTGGTAAGGGGCTCCTCTTATCCTTCAGTGTTTTCCCAGTTCCTTTCGACAACTGTCGTGTTCTCGTGCCGTGAAAGACTATACTGTCTCACAGGAAAGACCTTCTAGTTTCTTAGTATTTACTGACTGATTCAGAGATTATTCTGTTCTTTTCCTTTGTTGCTTTCTCTGTTTTCTCTCTTTCCTGCTCACACAGTGTACTGGTTACCTATTGCTATGTAATAAACCACCTTAAATAATGACTTGAACAACACTCGTTTGTTTAACTTTTTATTTTTTAGAATCACATTTAACTTGCAGCTTTCTGAGATGAGTATAGAGGGTTTCACTTTGATTCCGTGTTAACAGCATGATCTGTTGCATTACCCATGACAGCCATGAAAGTATCACACACTGACCAAAAACAAAGTGACTTTGCTTGATTTACATGATTGGTAATGTTGGTGTACTTTTAAGTATATTTGTATAGCAGTATGTTCTTGATAAAAATGATTCATGTATTTTGAATGCTGTCAGACATTGCTTAAGTTTTACTTGTAGGTATCATCTAATTCTTACAACAGTCTTAAGAAATATAATACTATTGCTAGTGCCATGTTAGAGATGAATGCTTGGGGGGTTAAAAATATGCCTGGCCTGAGGCCACAAGGCTACTGCTCACCAGTGCTACTACCATGCTCAAGAAGTTCGGAAGGCAGATCTGCCAGAGTTCAAATGGGTCTAGCCCCTGGGTGTTATTTTGTAACTCTTCTTTAGGTGCACCATTGCGCAGCTCAGTTTATCCCTTCTCCAGAAGGGAGTGAGGATGTTTATTTTATTTTATTCAGTTTTTTCTTATAAAGTAGACTTTATTTCTTAGAGCAGTGTTAAGTCTACAGAAAAATCTAGCAGAAAGTAAAGCAGTCCTATGTACTTCTTCCTCTCCAAAGTTTCCCTGATTATTAACAACTTGGATTGTTGTGGTACATTTGTTACAGTTGATGAATTAGTATAGAAAACTTCATAATTAACTAAAGTCCATGGTTTATATTAAGGTTCACTCTTTGTGTTGTACATTTCTGTGCATTTCGCCAAATGCATATGTCATGTATCTACCATTCTAGATTCATATAGAAGTTTCAAGAGTGTTTATTTTAAACCACAGGCTTTGGGCTACTGATCCTATGACTTCAAAATTGAAAACTTAAGCACAGTAGTAGACTGTTGAAGGAGAAATTCCCTGGATTGGGACAATTGCCTTTGGGTTACATTAAACTTCTTTTTACCCCTAAAGAAGGCTATTTTGTGGTAGTTGTTGTTGTTTACAGTTTTAGAATCTCTGTGTTGGAAGGGACTCTAAGGGCTGTGAAATACAGCCAGCTGTCTGATACTTGAACTCTTGGTCCTCCCAAGAGTCAGGGCTCGCTCTGCCCCGGGCAACCTTGCTGTCCGGGGGGACCCTGCCAGCCCCTCTTCCTTACTGCTGAGGGTGAGAGGAGGATCTCTTCTAGTCCAAGGGCTTTTCCTTGTAAGTCTGTAGATGTGGCTTTGGGGTTATTTTAAATTTTTAAACAGTAAAAATGCTTACCTGATCTTAGATATCAAAGAAGCAATGTTTTTATTGGTTATAATTAGACTAAAAGAGTCATACTATAAGTAGGTATGTGGAAGAATATAGGAAGTTTTTTTTTAAGTATGTATTTGTATAAAATGATCAGTTCAAATTGATTGTATTTTTGAGTGGCACTGCATATGTTGACTTCTTGTATCATTCTTCAAGTCATGATTTCAGTGGGTCTTGAGTTGGCAGAAGTGCCCATATTTGTCCTTGAGACTCTGATCCCAGTTACAAGAGTCGAGGAATTCTGTGACAGGTATTTAAGGGTAACTCTTGAGAAGGAATATTATATTGTTATAGATGTTTTAAAACAAATGCAAAAGTAGACAGAATAGTGTGACAAGTCTCTGTGTACCATCTTGAACAGTTACTGAGTATACCCAGTCTTATTTTAAAGTCAGTCCTGGACATACTGTTCCTAAGAAGGAACATATGTTCCTGAAGACATTCAAAAGGGAGGACTCGTTGCTCTGAAACCCTAACGATATCACTTTAATCATCGCTTCTGTCCCTGCACCTCACAAGGCCACCGGTTTTTCCATACCTCTAATTCTGCTTCTCTTCTCCAGGGCCCAGTCATATATGCGCAGCTAGACCACTCTGGAGGACATCACAGTGACAGGATTAACAAGTCAGAGTCTGTGGTGTACGCAGACATTCGGAAAAATTGAGAAGACCGTGATCATATCCTAAGCAATAAACAAATCCAAACTGGACTCTTGTGCAGAAAATGTAGCCCATAACTGTGTGTGGCCTTGGAAACCGGAACACGGAGAAGCACATGTTTAGTCATAGAGGGAGAAAAAGATGTGTATAAAGGATGTGTATAAATGTTCTATTTAATCTTCCTGATGCAAGGAGCCAGTGTTGCATGATGAAGAGACGGTATGAGTCTACGTATAAATTGTCTTGCTGTTTTTGTACTTCCCTTCAGGGTCATTTACAGTTGAGAAAATTCAGACACATTCCTATCACCATCATTTAGATGTGGTTTGCCTTAATGGGGAAAGTAGCAGATCTTTTAGTATTCTAATAGACATGGCCTTTTAATATAAAGGCTTAACCCACTTTTGTGTGTATTATAGTTGCAGAGTGGAGATGCTATGATGGAAGCATGTTCAGGATGGCCTTTAGCCCAGGAAATATCGCCTATTTGGCAGTTGTTTTTAGAAAGCATCCATTTGCTATGCCACTTGTGATTTTTGTTGCTATTTTTCTCTCTGAAATACAGGGCAGTTTTCTGCTTTCAGTGTTGTGTAGACTATAAAAGTACACCCTGTAGCATATCATCTCAATTTGTGGATTCATCATAGCAAGATTAGCAGGGGATCAATGCCAGAAGTCATTTCTTTCCAGGTACTTTTAGATCCATACCATAATCAATACATAATTGAAATAGAGAACCAGGAGTGGCTTGAGGAGTACTGTACTATTGGGAGAGCAAAAGGTATGGTATATTCTTTGCTGAAGTCCTTTGTGCTTGTAACAAGTCCCCATATAGCTGAAGGAGCAGAATTTCATTTCCTTCTAAGTAGACAGGAATGGAATAATTAGATTGCCAGTCTTTAGTATGGCAGAGTTCTCTCTAGAGAATCTTTATAAAGCTTCAGTCATGCTTCCAGCAGCCTGGCTCCTATAATGATAGTTTCAAGACAGTTAGATTTATAAAGAATTTTTTTCATTTAAAATTGAAAGCTCACAGTTCCAGGAGGAATACTGTCCCAGAACACATTGGGGTAAGTGGGTGTGACCGGTAATGTTAGTTTTCATCTCATTTAGTTTGAGGTCGCCTAAGAGCTGCTTCCTTTTTTCTTCCTGTCTTGTTCTCTTTGAGCGACTGAACTGAACTGTTCTCTTTCTGAGAGACTTTGAAGGCCAAGTTCTAAGGAAATAAAGAATAATTTAGATTTAAAGATGTCTAGGAGGTGGTTACACAGAGAAAAAGTGTATGAACTACAAACTCTGCCCCATATATACAATCTGGTATTTTCCGAGAGACTCTCTGTTGTTAATTCCATGGTGCCCCAACTTACGTTCTGTTGATACATACGTCAGCAGGACTGAGTTTTGTCATCACACACAGCTGCCGTCTCTGAACCTGGTTTGTCTGTCTGTGTTGCACGTGGGAGGAAAACCTTTTGGTTCTGCTGCGTGTCCCTCTCTTGAGCCCACAGGCCCCAGGAAGAGGAATGATGAACACTCGCCCTGAGCAGTTCTGCAGAGTGTACCCTGGGGCTTCTCTGCCTCCACAGTGGAAACTCCAGAACCTTTAGGAGACCTTTTTGTGTAGTGGGGAGCCGGGGCAGCGGGGGAGGGATGCGGGCATTCAGATGTCAGCATTCTTCAGGCTGCCGGGATAAGGACACTCTTGGTGAGCCACCCCCCACTGTGAGAACTGTACAGCCATCCAAGATTTCAAGGAAGAAGAAAATACATTGTGGAGAGCCCAAGTGTATGCACTGATGTGTGTAATTTTCTTAGTCACTTTTTTTACAGAGAAAAGGGGATTCTCCTTTTCCTCCTTTCTCAGCAGGTCCAATGAATCTACTATGTATAGAACATTCCTAACACCTCCTGAGAGCAAGAGCCCTGTTTTTCTGCGTGTTTGTGAAGCTCCCACCTGGAGCAGCAGCTGCTAACACTGCTGTGGGCCTCCTCTCCACGTCCATCAGCAAGGGTCCCGGCCTCCTGCTCTGGGTCTGTGACTGACCAGTCTGCGGGGAGCTGCTCACACTGGGCTGGAGCACTTCAGGGTTGGGGCTTTTTCTGAAACTCCTCATACCACCTCCTATGAATCTTTTGGCCCTTTCTCCTGTGTCCCAACATTCTCATTCCCAGACACAGGCAACAACAGTGGGGCTGCGTCCAGATGGCAGGACTGTCCTTTTCATGTCTGATTCTTGGCAGAATGAGGCCTCTGAAGACTGCACGTGGTTTTTCTAAGGGGGTACCTACAAGGGATTACTTGACATTTACATTTCAAGCTCTCTGTAGTTTTTCAATGGAACTGTATTCAGCCAAGTAAAAAACCCATCCTGTTCATTAATTTCTCTTTTTCAATTGTTGTACCTTTGTGAATATTTTAATACATCTTTTTCAATTACTGGATTGTGTTGTGTGCTCAGTTTAGATCAAGTGAAGAAGAGATCAAAGCCCTTTCCTTAATTTAATCTCTCTCCAGCCACACAGGCTTCTCCTTCTTCAGAAATAGCACCCATATGCCTGTCTCAGGCCCTTTGCACCTTCAGCCTAGAATGCACGTTCTGCACTTTGGTGTGGTTTGCTCCTTCACTTCCTTTAAGTGTCTGCTCACATATCACCTTCTCAGAGAGACCTTCTGTGATATGTAAAAAAGCAACGGCACCCACCCCTGGCTCTCTCTAAGCCCCTTAACCCTGCTGTTTTTCTCTCTGTCAAACCACACATGTGCTGATCTGTTTTCCCTACCAGAACATAAGCACTGCGAGCCCAGAATTTTGCCCATCTTTAGTGTATAGCACATTATCTGGCAATTAGCAGTTGCTCAATAAATGTTGATGGATGATGGCTAGACGGATTTATCTATTCAACAAATGTATATCCTGTCATATGCCAGGCACTGTGCTAAGCATAAGGAACACATAGCTTCTCAAGGATCTTGCCACAGTAGAGGTGGGAGAAAGTGACATGCAGTAATAACAGCTATTAGATAGTAATACTTTCTTTATGCCAAGAATTTCTTGCCCTGTTTAGCACTATGAGTCAGTGCTAGTTGCAAACTCAAACTCACTTTTAGAAAGATAAAGTCAGTATTTTGCAGCAGTATTTTTTTGGATACATCTCCAAGAATAATACAATCAAAAGCAAAAATAAACTAATTGGACCTAACCAAACTTACGAGCTTTTGCACAACAAAGGTTACTATAAACAAAAGAAAAAGACAACCTATGGAATAGGAGGAAACATTTGCAAAGATGCGACTGACAGGGCTTAATTTCTAATATATATAAACATCTCACATAGATAAATATATTTTAAAAAAAAACTAATCCAAAAATGGGCACAACTTAAGTAGACATTTCTCCGAATAAGACATACTGATAGCCAACAAGCACATGAAAAGATGTTCAACATTGCTAATTATTAGAGAAATGAAAGTCAAAACTGCAATGAGGTATCACCTCACACCAGTCAGAATGGCCATCATTAAAAAGTCTACAAATAATAAATGCTGGAGCAGGCATGGAGAAAAGGGAACCCTTCTACACTGTTGATGGGAACATAAATTGGTGCAGCCACTATGGTGAACAGTGTGGGGGTTCCTTAAAAATCTAAAATCAGATCCATGATCCCACAACTCTGCTCCTGGCCATATATCTGCAAAAGGTGAAAACGAATTAAAAACGGTACATGCACCCTTATGTTCATTGCAGTGTTAGTCCCAAGAGCCAGTTCACGGAAGTGGCCTAAATGTCTACTGACAGATGAATGGATGAAGATGTGGTACAAATATACAATGGAATACTAGCCAGCCATAAAAATGAATGATAAAATGCCATTTGCAGTAACATGGATGGACATAGAGATTATCATTACTAAGTGAAGTAAGTCAGGTAAAACTATAATACCACTTATATATGGAATCTTAAAAAATGATACAAATGAACTTATTTATAAAGCAGAAGTAGACATAGAAAGCAAACTTACGGTTCCCAAAGAAAGGTGGGGCGAAGGGTAAATTAGTTTTGAATAACAGTACTCTGGTGATCCAGTAGTTAAGACTTGGTGCTTCAACTGCCAGGTTGGGAGTTTCACCCCTGGTCAGGGAACTAAGATCCTACATGCTGTGCAGCAAGGCCACACATGAAATAAGGAAGACAAATGCAATCCCTATCAAATTACCCATGACATTTTTCACAGAACTAGAGCAAAGAATCCTAAACTTTTTATGGAGCCATGGAAGATCCAGAATTGCCAAAGCAATCCTGAGGAAAAAGAACAAGGCGGCAGGAGTCATAACCCTCCCAGGTTTCAGACAACACTACAAAGCTACAGTGATCAAGACAGCATGGTTTTGGCACAACAATAGACATACGAATAAATGGAACAGAATATGGATCCCAGAAATAAACCCACAGACCTACAGTCAATTAATCTTTGACAAAGGAGGCAAGAATATACAATGGGAGAAGGACAGTCTCTTTAGCAAGTGGTGTTGGGAAAATTGGACAGTGGCATGTAAATAAATGAAGTTAGAATACTCTCACACCATACACAAAAATGAACTCAAAATGGCTTAAAGACTTAAAAACAGGACACCATAAAACTCTTAGAACATAAGCAAATCATTCTGACACAAATCATACCAAAGTTTTTTTAAGTCAGTCTCCCAAGGCAAAAGAAATAAAAACAAACAAATGGGACCTGATCAAACTAACAAGTTTTGCACAACAAAGGAAACCATAAATAAAACTAAAAGACAACCTACAGAGTGGGAGAAAGTATTTGCAAACTATGTGACCAACAAGGGCTTAATTTCCAAAATATACAAAGAACTCATACAACTCAACAACAAAAAACAACTGATTTGAAAAATGGACAGAAGACCTAAATAGACATTTCTCCAAAGAAGACATACTGTGCTCAGTTGCTAAGGCATGTCTGACTCTAAAACTGCCTGGAGTGTAGCCCGCCAGGCTCCTCTGTCCATGGGATTCTCCAGGCAAGAATACTGGAGTGGGTAGCCATTCCCTTTTCCAGGGGATATTCCAGACCCAGAGGTCAAACCCACATTTCCTGCACTGGAAGGAAATAATTAAAGAGTGAACCATAGTAAAATGAAACAATGTTTATTCAGGGAGATACACACTTCACAGACAGAGTATGGATCATCTCAGAAGAGAAACCCCAGGGTACAGGGTTGCCAGTTTTTATAGGACTGGGTATTTTCATAGGCTAGTGAGTGGGAGGATTATTCCAACTATTTTGGGGAAGGGATAGGGATTTCCAGGAATTGGACCACTGTCCACTTTTTGGCCTTTTTTGGTTCTTGTTCAGTCACTGAGTTGTGTTAACTCTTTGCCACCCCATGGACTGCAGCATGCCAGACTTCCCTGTCCTTCACTATCTTCCACAGTTTGCTCAAACTCATGTCCATTGAGTCGGTGATGCCAAAGAAGACATATAGATGGTCAATAGGTACATGAAAAAATACTCAATATTGCTAATTGTTGTTCAGTTGCTAAGTTGTATCTAAATCTTTACAACCCCATGGACTGCAGCATGCCAGGCTTCCCTGTCCTTCACTGTTTCCTGGAGTTTGCTCAAACTCATGTCCATTGTGTTGATGATGCCATCCAGCCATCTCATCCTCTGTCAACCCCTTCTCCTGCCCTCACTCTTTCCCAGCATCAGGGTCTTTTCCAGTGAGTCAACTCTTCATAGAGAAGTACAGATCAAAACTACGAGATACCACCTCACATCAGTCAGAATGGCCTTCATTAAAAAGACTACAGATAAAAAATTCTGGAGAGAGTGTGGAGAAAAGGGAACCCTCTCACACTGTTGGTGGCCACATAAATCTGTGCAGCCACTATGGAAAAGAATATGGAGGTTCCTCAAATAACTAAAAACAGAGTTGTCATATGATCCAGCAATCTCACTCCTGGGCATATACCCAGATGAAACTATAATTTTAAAAGATGCATTCATCCTTATGTTCATAGCAGCACTATTCATAATAGCCAAAGATGGAAACAACCTGAATGTCCCTTGACAGATGAACAGATAAAGATGTGGGACAAATACACAATGGAATACTACTCAGCCATAAAAATGAATGAAATAACGCCATTTACAGCAACATGAATGAACCTAGATATTATCATACTAAGTGAAGTCAGAAAAAGACAAATACCACATGACATCACTTACACATGGAATCTAAAATATGACACAAGTGAGCGTATGTGCAAAACACAAACAGACTTGCAGAGAGCAGACATGTCGCGGCCAAGGAGGAGGAGTCGGGGAGAGAGGGAGGGAGGTTCGGGGTTGGCTCACTAGTTTGTACAGGATGGATGAATAACAAGGCCCTACTGAACAGCACCGGGGACTGTACTCAGTGTCCTGTGATAAGCCATAATGGGAAAGGACATTAAAATAGAGAACGGAATCATTTTGCTGTATGGTAGAATTTAGCATTGTAAATCAACTATAGTACAAAAAAAAAAAAAAGAGGCAATGTCAGGTTTAGGGTATATAACTTGCCCAAGGTCACTCAGCTAATAACGTCCAGAGAGAAAGGGCTGGGGCTGGCACGATTTGATCCAAAGACTGGTTTCTTTATCACTCTGCCCTGGGGCTTTTCTCACCAAAAGCAATCTAAATCCCTTATTCAGATAAAGGCATTATGTCACTGAAATAAGGGAGGTGGTTGTGTAAGTGGTAGAAAAATGCCCAGGGGCCTTAACTTCAGTTTGGAAGACAATATGGCAAACCACCTGACCTGCCTCTTGAGAAACCTGTATGCAGCTCAAGAAGCAACAGTTAGAACTGGACACGGAAAAACAGACTGGTTCCAAATAGGAAAAGGAGTACCTCAAGGCTGTATATTGTCACCCTGCTTACTTAACTTATATGCAGAGTACATCATGAGAAACGCTGGGCTGGAAGAAGCACAGGCTGGAATTAANTAAACTCCTGGAGTTTGTGATGGACAGGGAGGCCTGGCGTGCTGCAATTCATGGGGTTGCAAAGAGTCGGACACGACTGAGCGACTGAACTGAACTGAACTGATGGTGACTTTATCTGTTGAGAGCTGTGTCACAAATAACACCTTACTGATAAAGCACTGACATTTTCTAGTGACTTTTTAAATCAACATGGATTCGCAACAAGCTCCTGGCTTGTATAACTTGATGCTTTTTTGAACAGACAAGATCGCCTGTAAGGGTGAATCTCCTGTGAACTGCATCATGTGTGATGTGGCAAAAAAAGAACAGATGCTTCCCAAGCGTGCAAGGGCAGCAGTAATAAAATCAGGTTCTCTTGGTTCCTCCCAAAGTAGAATTAGGTACTGCAGAGTTTCCTCCTTCTTCTGGGTCCCTGACTTCCAAGCTGCACAAG